CTCATAACTCTCTCTCCTTCCTTTCTGCCTCAACCAAGTTGGTATGTTTATTACTCCCTACTTGATGTCTTGACCATGGTAATCCCAGCAAGTAATCATCTTTCCCATCATTTCCATCTGTTCAACTCCTGCCTTTGGGTGACACTTTTCATGGCCCTTCAAGGAGCTCATAACGTTACAGGTCAATAACCAACCCCTGCATAGAAGAATGTTACTGATTTTTCCTTCTGTCCTATTTTATAAGATTACATGAAGACTTGGCTCTTAGAGAAGTTAACAGTTGCCTTTTGAAAGTATACTTTTGGTAGGAAAGAGTGATGTTGTTCTTGGTTAGGAGGCTACAGAGGGCGTGTTCTGGAAAGGGGAGTGAGCGTATGAAGCAGAATCTGTATCTAGTGGAATAACATTAATGATGAATGAGCAAAGATTTATCTGGAAAATGAGTAAGAGACCTCAACGTTGGTGCCTGAGAAGGACTGGGCAAGGGGGTGAGAATCACATAAGGATCAGTGCAATGGAGATTTTAAAGTTATTTCATATCTTTGGATTTTATGGAGATTTTAAAGTTATTTCATATCTTTGGATTTTATCCATTTAGCTTGATCACAATCTCATAAGGGTGTCTTATATTTCTTTGGTGTCCTGCTTAAACCTTCTCCCAGACTCAACACCATTTGAGTGTGTAGAGGTCAGCTTAGTAAAGAAAGATACATCAGTAGTCACCGATTTCCTTGTTAGTCAGCAATCAGCTTCCTTCAGGGTTCACTGGGTCATATTTTCTATTCTAGGATCATTCAGTACGAATAGTCAATTCAGGATTTATTTCTGATGTAGCACTTTCTAGAGCAGCTTGTAAAGCTAGAATTGGTTTCAAAATCACATTAGGAAATAATAGCTTTAGAGAAGAGACATAGGAAAGCTCCATAGGATACCATGATCTGAGGATGCCTGGCGAGTGCTTCTCCTCTTATGGAGTAGTAGGTTTCACTGTAATTTGAGGCTAAGAACTCCCTGAAAAAGAGGGCAGAAACGTAGTAAAATTTATATTCTAAAAATCTAGCAATTAAACCCAACCATGTGATGGAGAAGCCTTCAGGGTGCTTTCAAATCTCAGCAAAGTCCTCTTCTTCTAAAAATAGAAAAGCAAAATCAAGCCCACTCATATGAAAAGCCTTTCTACCTAAATTTCATGGTTTTATAAAGCAAAAAATTAAAAAAATCTGGCAATTTTAGCAAAGCAGCATTGTAAAAAGAACTCAGAGAAAATGTTACATAAGTCAAAAAATCTGAGAGCCTAAATTAATGCAAAAAATATATGATATCTGTGATGAATATATCTTAACATATAGTAACCTAACAGCTACACAGATAAGAGCCATATGCATTAAGTATAATAAATTCCCACAAGCACATACTGTACTTGGACTTGAGCCCAATCTCTATCCCCCATTGCAAGACCCCACCCCTTGCAGTGGTCCCTATATTTATTGTGATGGTTCTGAATAAAGTCTGCTTTACTGTGCTTTAACAAGTATCATTGGATAATTTTTTCTTTAGTACCCCTTTGGACTACTGCTGGACACTTCTTAATCCCACCCTCAACATGGCAAACTCCTAGAAGTGCTTCAAAACCCAGTTCCAAACACACTTTCTGACTCCATCAAGCAGATTTTGAGATTCCGTCCCCTATGTCTATTCCACACTTCCAGAGATCTTCATTTTCATGTTACCACATTTTTATTATGTATTATGGGGTCAGCAAACCTTTTCTATAAAGACCAAGACAA